TTATCCCCTGCTTGGGTAGGGAGTTTTCTTGCCTTTTCTTGGGGAGGGGGGTTTAAGGATTGAGGGCGTGTGCATGCACGCACACGCACGCACACACACACACACACATGGCCTTGTGACTGATTTCTGGCCTCTGGGATGGGAGGCCTGCCAAGTGCCTTGCAACTGATTCCTGGCCTCTGGGATGGGAGGCCTGCCAAGTTGGTTACAGCGAAACAATGAAATCAGGGGCCAGAAATGCAACAGGGGAAGTCCCTGGAGGGGAGCTGGGGGGGGCCCGCTTTGCAGTCCAGCTGTGAGCCAGATGTGCAGCGCACCACTCCCTAAGCCTGGTCCGGGAGCTGCTGGGGGTGGCGGCTGCGTTCCGTCTCCGTCAAGAAGGGGGACCCCTGCCCAGTCCTTGAACCCCACCCGGAGGGATGGGTCTCTCTCCTCTCTCCCCTTTCTGGAAAGCCCACGGGACGGTGCTCTGAACCTCTTCCAGGGCTGTAACTTAGGGTACACAGCCCCCCAAGAGAGCAAAACGGAGAGGTGAACCTACTAGTGAGCGGCAGAAAAAATAAACAGCAAGGCCTGGGGGGGGGGAGAGGGGTTATTTATTGCTTTCTTTTTGCAAGCATAAAAAACCTTTCTCTTCCATGGGATTGCAGGGAGACAGTGCCTCTCCCTTCTCTTTGCTTCACAGGGCTCTGGCACCCCTATGGTGGAAGGCACTGCTGCTGCTTCCCCCAGGCGTGGTCATGGCTCCTGGTCCCCCCCCCAGACCAAAGTTGGGGATGCCACCCCCCCTGTGGGAGGCAGGGAGGGAAGGAGGGCAGCTGCTTAACAGCTGTGTGGACCAACTGCCCTGCGGCTTCTGGGCATGTGTGAGATGCAACATGCGGCTTCTGTGAGATGCAACATGCCGTGCATGACGTCTGTGGCAACCGAATAAGCGTCCAGGGCCTCTCCAGGGTGCGGGGTCCGAGGTGGGAAAAAAGGCTAAAAAGGGGTTTGGGAGCCGTCAGAAACGCAGTTCCTTGGGACTACAGCCCCTCAAATCCCCTAACCCAGCAATTTTGTGTCGGTGGGGGGGGGGAGAGACAAATCTGATTGTAAATAACCCAGAGAGTGCATTGTGGGGGCGGCAGAAAGCCGGCACATTTTGCATGGGTCTGTCCGAGCTTGTTCCGGGTCTGAGCACCTTATCTCTCCCCTAAACAGTTCTCCAGGATTGTGAAGCATCTCAAACCCCCCCCCCCCGGTTCAGGCTCAGAATGGAAAAGGGGATATTTTTGCTCAAGCCCCAATTGCCAACCAGGGGCCCTCAACAGGGCCTGTTGAACCACAACAGCCATCGTCCCCAGCTGGGGTGGTGTCACTGCTAGATCTCCAGGGAATCCGAGGCTGGGCAAAGGGAGGCCTCCTTCGCCGTTCTTTGCTATTCAACGTGTGTAGGAAGAGATATTGCAGGAGACCGAGCAGCTGCTTCCGTTCCTCTCCCCCCCCCCGCCGCCTTCCCTTTGGATTTTCAAGTCCGGCCTGCGTGAACAACCCCACGGCCCCCCCTCCCCATGCCACCCCTCGAAGCTGGAACAAGGCAGGATTTTGGGAAGAAAGCTTGCAGCTGTCCCAGGGTGGAGGGAGGACGGGAAAGGTTTGCAGGGGGACCGGAAGGCTGGAGTTTGCCAAATTCTCATTTGTCGATGGGTCTGGAAAAAAAAAAGAGAGACGAAAATGGAGGCATCATCCCATGGCCTCTGCACAGATTTCAATGCACCAGCAGGTTCAAGGCCGTTCCTTTGAGCCAAACTGAAGGGCAAATAAATTAAAAAAAAATTTTTTTGGGTGGGGTGATTAAAAAAAAAGTCACACATGTGAATGCCAGCTGTTTGAAACTTCAAACTCTAGACAGCCTCCTGGCAGATCTTCATTGAGCCAGGCAGGGGGTTGGACTGGATGGCCTTACAGGTCCCTTCCAACTTCATTATTCTATGGTTCAGAAGTGGGCCAGGCAGGGTGTCGCTCAGCTGTTTGAAACTTCAAACTCTAGACAACCTCCTGGCAGATCTTCATTGAGCCGGGAGGTTGGACTGGATGGCCTTACAGGTCCCTTCCAACTTCATTATTCTATGGTTCAGAAGTGGGCCAGGCGGGGTGTCGCTCTGGGGTTCTTTCCCAGGAAAGCCTGGGAAGTGTTCTTCGGACTACAAACCCCAGAATCCTTGCACCTTGCCCAGCCCCCTGGCTTGGTGGCTCAGCCTTCCCCCTCCTAAGCATGAGGTCTTCTTTGGGTCCGGACAGGTTCGGAGAAGGGAATGTTGTGAGGCAAGAAAGATGAGAGTACAACTGAGCATGTACAGAGGGCCTTCTCTCTGCTCTGGGAACTCACTGCCAGCTGGGTGGTTTGCTTCCTCTCCTCTACGCTCTGGGGTTGGGTGACAAAGGTGTGGGGTGTGTGTGTGTGCCTTTTGCAAGAGAGGGTGGCCCGGTGATCACCAGGAGAAGGAAAGAGCCGGCCGGCTTTTCTCTGCCCCTCTCCCCTCACCCATCACACCCTGAGAGATCCTCAGAAGCAGCTCATGGGGGGGGGCGGATGTTGTCATAAAGGACGCCCGTGGCCTCCTTTCCCACTTCCTCAGGTCACCGGAGGGACACCGGTCGGTCGGGGCCTGAGCTTTTCTGCAGCCTTTTGCAAGAGAGGGTGGCCCGGAGATCACCAGGAGAAGGAAAGAGCCGGCCGGCTTTTCTCTGCCCCTCTCCCCTCACCCATCACACCCTGAGAGATCCTCAGAAGCAGCTCATGGGGGGGGGCGTTGCTTCTCTCCTGCACGGCCCGGTCCGGCTGCAAACATCTGTTGCCGATTTCCTCCCCGGGCGCAATTCAATAGTATTTTCCATGTCCATCGAGCTGAAGCCACTCATCGCCTTTCTCTCTCTCGCTCTCTATCTTCAAAGTGTGTGTGCATGCGCATACAGAGGCATGCATGCTTTCTGGAGGGGGCCGCGGCTTCTCCTCCATGCACAAACCCCACCACGTTTAAGAAGCAAGCAACCAAACTTATTCTTTCCTAGCTGCTTGCGGACTTATTGCGACCTCCGTGGCCTTACCCCGGGGGAGCTGGGTTGCTCGTGGCAGGAGCCAGTCAGTGAAGCCCCGTTCTGGGATCCAGCCTTCCAGGTGTAGAGGACGGCAACCCCCATTATCCCCAGGGTGTGGAGGATGCTGGGGGTTGTCATCCCACACATCTGGTTGGAAACGTAACCGGACCTGCTGTGATCTTGTCCAGAGCTGTAATGTCCAGTGTTTTTTAAATGAGCAGGAAATGATGCTTGGTCATCTCTCTTCTCTACCAGGATACCCCGAACGAGCCAAACCCACCGGCTGAGACAGAGGCTGGGAATATTTCTCCCAGCTCGGTTTGGGATGGGGTGCTAAGGGAGAAGAGCCACAGGGGGGCGGAGGTTTAAAGGCACAGAGCCTTTAAATGGCCTTGCACCTCTCTCTCCTTGGCATCTGGGCCCCATCGTGTGACCCCCCCCCCAAGATCTGAGCAGGATTAGATCATAAATAGCCATCCCGTAGGGATGCAGAGGGGTGGGGGTGGGGGTGAGTGTCCGGCTGCAGAGCGTTTCTGAACTACCTGCCAGTGCCTCTGGACCATTTTAGCTCCAGAGTTTGGGGGAAATGACCTTCCAGACGCAGATGTGTGAGCTCAGCCACCAGCCTTGGGGAAGGGGCGATTATAGGAAGTCGTGGTGCCGAAAGTAACTTCTCCAAGCCCCGTCTGGAAGCATCAGAGCCCATCTCCTCCGCACACTTCCTCAAGCCAAAACAGAACGGCTGCGGGGGGGGGGG